ACCACCCGCCCCGCCCCACCCCCACCCCCACCTTCTTTGCTGGGGATACCCCAAGGTCCTCCTTCAAATTCAGCATGCTGTCACTGTCTCCAGGAAGCCTCCCTGTCCCACAAGCAGCTTGCTGTCACTTGCTTAGACATCACACCCCCCTGCACACCCAGCAGGGTCTCTGGCTGCCTCCCCCAAGGGAGTGTGGTCTCCTGCCTAGGAGGGGGAAGGAGCGGAGGGAGTGGAGGGAGGGAGAGGAAAGAGAGGGGAAGGGGAGGGAGGGAGAGGGAGGGGAGGGGAAGGGGAGGGCAGGGAGGCTGAGGGACACGGCACCCACCCCCAACCATGGCCTGGGGGATCTTTTAAAAATGAAAATTGGATCATGTCATTCCCTTACATAAAAACTTCACATGTATATAAATAAAACCCAAACTCCTAAAAGAAGAAAGCAGCAAGCGAGGGGCAGAATTGTGATAAGGTGCTATCATTTTTGAGCTTGAACAAGACAAAAGGAAGATGAAAGGTGGAAGGGAAGCCTCGCGCCCCTGTCCCTCCTGATTGCTGAAATCTTCGGGAGTCAGCACAGTACCACACCTTATTCTCATCTGTATTTCCAAAATGAGGATGTGATTCTTTTTGCAAATATTGTTCCAAAGGAAATTTCCAAAGATAAACTAATTTTATTTATAAAACTGGAGTTACAATAGCTCTTCTGTTTTTCTCTCCATTTGGTGTTCCAAATGAACCGTCGGAAAACTGGTAGCCAGGCGTGGTGATGCACGCATGACTGTAATCCCAGGATTTAGGAGGCTGAGGAAGGAGGATAGCTGTGAGCTCGAGGCAGCCTGAAGGAATTATACCATGAGACCCTGTTGCGAGAGACAGACAGACAGACAGACAGACAGAATTTGTTGTCCCCTTTAAAACACACCTACCTTCCTCCGCTTGTAATCCCTGCATTGGCTTCCCTCATCAGACTTGATTTAACTCAGGAGCTCTTAGTCTCAGATGCGCTGGAGGTCAAGCGGGAGCCGGTGAGGACTGAGAGCCTGGGGTTCCACGCTCGCACCTGGCTCAGCGAGGGCAGGATCTGCAGACTCCCCTGTGGGAGAAGGGGCCCAGAACAGCTTTTCCGAGCGCCCATCACTGCCCTACCCAGAAGCAGCACTTGGAGCAAGGCGCTGCGGTCCTGTTTAAGTGCAGTTTCCCCGGCTGTCTCTGTGGTTCCAGAGAAAATTTTAAGTGGGAAATTGCAGCACTCAACCACTCGTATGTTCTATCTGACTCCTGTTGGCTTCCATTGTTAATCTCTTACTGCACCTAATTTATAAATTGAAACTTTGTCACAGATATGTGCGGACAAAACATTGAAGGTACAAAAAAAAAAAAAATAACAATAAAATAAAAAAAAAAAATTGAAGGTACAGTGTTCAATAGTATCCATGGCCTCTGGCCATGGAAAGTGGATGAGAGGGTTCTAATTAGAGAATTTAGAGTGGAAAGCGGTGTCTTGCCTCCGTGGCTCCTTTGCCCATTCACGCGCACGAGCGTGTACACACACACACACACACACACACACACCCTCCCTTATGCCTTTATAAACATCCCTATTATTATGTTCCACACCTTATAATGTGATTCTCAGTGTTTCCCTTCTCAGTCAGCTTTGCTTTTTTTTTTTTTCTGGTAGAACCAGGGATTGAACTCAGGCCCTTGCACTTGCCAGGGAAGTGCTTATTCTACTGAGCCGTCTCCCCAGCACCTCACTCAGCTTTTTGAGAATGACATTCAAGACTTAAGCCCAATGCTCCAATATGAAATAAAAGTCCACATCATGAAATTGAAAGCACTTAGTCCGAGTTTTACTTTCTGTTTTATAGGGCCTGATTTTTCCTTGCCAGCAACGGCAGGTCCGCATCACCCTCCAGCCCCTGCCCTCTCCAAGCTCCAACATGGACAGGCAATGGCAAGGCTGTCTGCGGGCTCTAGGGAGAGGCTGGCGCTTTATTTGAAAATATGCATACAATAAATCACTTCTGGTAGCTTTCTGTGGCTTTCCCAGGACCTCTGCGGAGCCCTCGCCTTGGTGACTGGCCCAGAGAGAAGAGCGCCTGAGAACACAGTGCACATGCTTCCCATAAACACGCCCGCACTTTTCCACATGACATAAATTATCAAGTGGGAGGTGAAGGGACCCAGGCTGTGTAGCAATGGCTCTCAGCTACCCTCTGCTGGCAGGACGTCTGTGACATGGCCGCCAACCCGTGCCAGCTGGCAATGACTGCTTACCCTGGGCAGGGGTCGTTACTGCACCCGCAGGGTGCCCAGCCCACAGTGCCTCTTAATATTTGCTAGTGGCTAAACCGCAGGAGCCAAAAACATGTAATTCAAATTTTACCTTCTTCTGTCTAGCTGGGAATCACTGGTTCTTCCAATTGTGTGATTTCCTAACTTTTTCTCAGTACACAGATCAAAAGGCAAACACGGAAGACTTTCCATGCTCAAAGTAGAAAGGCTGATAGCATAAAACACAAGCACCCATCGGTAAAACTCTAAAGCTTAAAGGAAGACCTTCGCGGCTATGGATTGATGGGGTCATTTGCCCCTGCCCTGGCCTGGAACTCTCAGAATGGATCAGCGCTGGGCTGAGGGGAACTGTACCCAGAGGTGCAATTTGGGTGACTCAGTCGGAAGAATAGAGGGCTGGGGAGGATGGGGAATGAGCTGCAGGCCTCAGAGCCCCACTGCCACTAAGAAGAAACAAGGGGTGGGGGACAGGGAGGAGGCAGGGGAAACAAAGAATCTCTCGAGAAGCATATGAATTTTGCATCTAAAATCGTCCTCCTTAGTGATCACTAGTCAGGAATAAATGTGACCTTGCCCAAGAAGGGGAGTGACAAGACACTGTCATTTTTGGGGTCCTTTGTACAAGGTTAACTATCCCCCTGAACAAACCAGGTGTGCTACTGGGAGAAGAAGCAAAATCCACTTTGCTCATTGGACACAACGAGCTCACTGGGGCTGCAGACCCTTCTTTTCCTGACAGCAGCAGAAGCACCCTTCAGTGGAGGGCTTGCTTGGGGCTAATGGTCAGGCCCTGAGTGGAAATTCTGAGCTCATCAGGTCTGAATTTGGGAAATCAAGGTCACCCCTAAAGCTTAATGGTCTGCTAAGAGCAGCAGATACACTCTGTCCTTTCTTCTCCTCCTGCCAGGCATGTAATTGGTTCTACTTTTCTTAGAAGGCAATGCTATCATCACAGGACCCTTTGGGAGGAACGGAACAGAGACAGGTGACAAATCTTTCACCTTGATGGGCAGAAAGCCATCCAGGCCCCATCTCATTATAAACAGTCACACGGTCAGGTGTGCTCGTAAGCTGGGTCTCTGCTTTTTCTTTGGGGTGGGGGAGGTGTACCAGGGATCGAACTCAGGACCTTGCACTTGCCAGGCAGATGCTTACGCCACTGAGCTATCTCCCCGACCCAGCTGGGTCTTTTCTTAGGAGAAGCCTCTTACTGGGCTCATTTTATGATCAAACTTTTCTACTGCAGAGCTACAAGCATTTTCATTTCATTTTAAGGAAAAGTGCACAGCTTACATTTTTTAAATATAAATTAATTCCATCCCACAACAAAGCTTATTGACCTGGCCGCTGCAGTGAAACTTTGATTGCAGAGATTTCTCCCTTGCGATAAGTTCTTAAGAAAGAGGTCAAAGAAAAACATCGAAGGAATTAAGACAGTCTTAGGAAAGTAAATGAGAAAACAAAGCCTCATCCTACATGCAATCCAAACATTCCCATTTCATAGGGATCCGTCCGTTTCCCGCAGGTTCTACATGGCGGTTCAGACAGAAGTCTCGGGAGAAAAGACTGCCCTGTGAGTGAGGAGGGAGCTTCCACTCATCTTGGTGATTCTGGGGACAGCCAGACTTCCAGCTGGCAAAGGGCTGGAAGGGGAAACAACTGCAGACCCGAACATTCCACCAGGCCCGAGATGCCGTGCTGGTCAGCCTGAGCTCCAGCTCGTCTCCACTCTTGTTGCTGCTCGCTGTATTTTGCTGCCCATCCCACTCCCAGAGAGACCACCGCCCAGACAGCTGGCAGGATGCCCGCTTCTTCCCATTAGCATATCTGAAGTGCCCAGCGGGGTGTTAGCATTCAAACAAATAAGAGACACAGTTATGCCTCGGTTTGGGTCTAGCTGTCCCCCCAAACCCTCATGCAGTCACGGGACAGACTTCTGGAGTTTGTGATTAACTCATGATCCACTGGGCTTGCGGGTGTGAGTGCTACCCCAGCCTGGGGCCGACAGCCTGGATGCAGCTTAAAGGGGACAGACTTGCTCTCCGTGCTGCTGCTCCTCCCATCTGCTCTTGCTGTTTTGCTGCCTTCCACCACCATGAGCTGCAGCCCTCTGCCACGTGCCGCTCTGCCTTGGAGCCAGCTGAGTATGGACTGAAACTTCCACTAACTGTGAGCTAAATAAACCTTTCCTTCTTTAGTTCTGGGTATCATGGGTATTTGTCCCAGCAATGAAGAAAAGTAACCGAGACAGCAACTTAAATTCTTTCCATGATTCTGGTTGCAAACGGAGTTGGCTGAGAACCGAATCAGATTTCCCCAGAAGGTCAAAGTGAGTCTAACCACTGAATTTGATTTGGTTTGTGTCCAATTTGGTTTATGACTAGAATCGTGGAAAGAACTGAGCTCATGAACCAAGGTACTACTGTCTATCTAAACTTAGCTAAGACTATGCCGCAATAAGTAAATCAGGCAAAAAGAACCAAAGAACAGGCCTCTATAAGCTAATGATATCTTCTGAATATTAAAATTAATTTCATAACAAAGAATACCTGAACTCTGAAACTGAAAACTTTAAATTTGAATTACTCAGAAATTTCTTTAAAATCTAAAGTTTGGACCTAAGGTTTGTTTAAAACCGGAGTCTCAGGGCCAGGGAGACAGTTCAGCAGCATAAGCGACTGCCTGGCAAGCACAAGGTCCCCCAAGTTTGATCTCCAATACCACAATAAATAAATAAATAAAATAAAATAAAACTAGAGTCCTTTTACTCATCTGTCTGATCCATAGAAAAAGTATTTCATGGCTTTGTTGCAATTTCAAGGAACTCAGACTTGAACTGGAAGAAGAAAGGACATAAAACCAACCCTGATCGTCACTGCAATTTTCTCACCCCAATCTCAAGCCACATGACTGCTGTTTTTAAAGCACTTAGAAAATCAGGGACAGGGTTGGGGAGCTAGCTTGGCACTCTAAGCACCTGCCTGGCACGCTCAAGGACCTAAGTTCGATCCCTGGTACCGCATGCCACACTGCAGGCCCAGGTGCATGTGGACCACTGAAACTGGGCAGGGTGGTGCACACCTGTAATCCCAGCACTAGGGAGGCTGACGCAGGAACATCACTACAGAGTCTGAATGGTGTAGCAAAACCCTGCACCAAATAAATAATTTTTAAAAGATTTTTTTAAAAAGAAGGAATAACCGAAGCAGTGTGAAGTTCTAGTCCAGCCCTCCCCTCTGAACATAGCCAAGAATTTTTCTAGTTTATGAGATTAATAATCAGTAGTAATTGATATCACATCAAATCCCTAATACTGACTGTGAAATCCCTCCCTCACATCTGTCCCTTCATCTCTTGTCCCTTTACCAAGCCGGGACAGAATAAAGGGAAATTGGGAGATGGTGATGGAGGCTGGTACACAGCTCTGGAATGAAAAAGATGTCTGATGAACATTTTATAGCTCAGTATCATAATGCCTGAAAAAGCAAGAATTACAACGGGAAGCAAAATGAAACCCTCAAAATTTGGAACTTAAACTTTCAGGGAACAAACTGCTATAAATATTAAAAGACCTAAGGAGAATATTTACATTGAAAATATAGCCCAGTGATGGATCTAATCGTTACTTCCTACAGCCCCCCAACCAGCTCTCTCCAGTGATGAGACCAAAAGACCACTTTTCTTGAAAACATAACATTTATGAATTGCATCAGCCCCACAGGGAACGTCTTTTCAGGAATTTCACCCAAGCCAGAGAGGTTGAAGATAGAACTGCAGCAGCAGCAGGTCTGGGAAAGAGCAGGGAACTGTGCAGTCACAGAGCCAGCCTGCAGGCTGTCCTCAGTCCCTGCACCAGAAATCAAGTCCAGGCTCCAGGGCCAGGAAGACAGGCTGGGCTTCGCCTGTGGCAGCCGGCTTCGCCTGTGGTGGCTGGGCCCTAGGTCCCCGCCAGGGGCCGGATCTGTAACTCGCGCTCCAGCTGCTCAGCAGTCAGGGTGCCCTGGATGGCCTCGCAGCCCGGGTTGAACACAGAGTAGGCGCTCTTCTCGCCCTCCTTCTTCTCCCCTGGACCTCGTGTCCCTACGTACATCCAGTAGAACAAGGACAGGACGAAATAAGCCAGGCCAAATTCCAGTTCCACGAACAGTCCCAGGAGGACCAACCAGAGAAGAACCTTCAGGAAGGTGATGTTGGTCAGGAAAGACCCGTCATGGTGTGGAGGCGGAGGCAGAGGGCCGGCGGCGTTCCGCGGGGGCTGCCGCGGGGCCTGCGATGCGCTGCTCCGGGGCTGAGCTGCTCCCTAGGATACGCAAGCAAGTGAAGTAAGAGTAAACAGTAACGGTGCTGAGGGGTCCGAAACTAATCCAGAAAGGCAGCTCCTATTACTCTGGGAAGGCTGCGGCTCATTGCTTTCTATTTCCCTGCCCTACTCTCTAAAACAATCATCAGAGAGCTTCTGGGCGGCTCCAACAGAATCAAAAATGATCCGCACTTGGCAAGATGTGACCCCAAGCAAACCTCACAGCATTCGGATGGATTCCCATTTGTAGGAGTCGTTTCTTCGAATTAGTCTGCTGTTAACACAAGCTAATTTATGCCTCAAACAGCAACTGCCCAGTTATGGCCAGTGCAGCAGCCCCGATGTCTGCCACCCATGCAAGGGAACGGGCATCTGCTGCTGTGATTAGATGTGCTCAAACAGGCGCAAACAATTGATGCCCCACGCTGGAAACAAAAATCTCTTGCACATATTAAAAACAAAATCCACTGCCATGGCCACGGCCACTCCCAGGCCTTCTCACCATCCTCGGCATCTCAACCAGGTCCTGGCCACTCACCCCAGCACCTGGGGGTGGCTCCCCGCCTCCGGTTTCTCCCCCCCCCCACCTGATCTCCTGCCACAAGCTTTCAACAAAGGTGTTCAAATCTAAACTCCTAGGGTTGGAACCCAAGAAGCTCCACACATTCAATAAACAGAACGCCAGTTCCCAGGCCTCTGTGCCAGGTGCCAATGGAGACAGGTATGTGCTATCTCTAGGGAGCTTCATGTGCAGCCCACGATTTTCTACACCTTCTTGGGCATGACCTACAATAAGAAATATATTTGGCACTGCGATCTGGCGTACATGTGTGCAATGGAAGCAAAGCTTCGTGAGTGGCTCTCTGCTGTTTCCTGTTCTAAACAATTTTAAAGGAGGACACGACTGTCTCTATTTCACCATCCACTAATGGGTCACCACTTGCAGTTTGACAAACAAAGCCTAACAAGATGTTCTGCACCACACAAGCCACAATCTGTCACTCCATAAATGGCCCCTCTACCCTCACCTGACTGATCTTACTACCCAAAGACCTTCTGTGACCTGCAATTCCTCACCCCAACTCTCCTTCTAAGCTAGTGGGATTGGTGAAGTGGGTCTGCCCTGACCTCCCTGGCCATAGAGGAGACACCCTCTGTCCCGGAGCACTAACAGACTCTTTCTCACTGAGCAACACTATTTTCTTTTAATCTTTTATTTATGAGGTACAGGGTTTTGCCACACAACTCAGACTCATGTTGATCCTCCTGTCTCAGCCTCCCCAGCACTAGGATTACAGGCATGCATGACCATGCCCAGTTTTGGTGGCTGGTTTGGCGCTCCCAGGACAGGCCAGCACCACACGCGATACTGAGTATCGAACCCAGGTCCTTGCACTTGCCAGGCAGGCACTTTGACCACCGAGCTATTTCCCCAGCCTCAAGCACCACTACTGAACACCGAGTGTCCTTCCTTTGACTTAGGTCCTCCCATGTGTCCCTGGAGTGCACATAGATGGCAGCGAAGCACAGTTGTGTCTTCTGGTGTCACAGGCCTAACCCTGTGCTTAGGGTCTCAATGCTAGGGAACTTTCACTTTAGTTTTAAAGTTGTATCTTCTATCCTTCCTCACAGGAGTACTTAAAGGGGGACTGCAAATACTGGCCTCCATAAAAAAGGATTAGTCATCTGATTTATGGTGCAAGAAATTCTATTTTGTTGGCACTCTCTTTTTGAAGCACCAACATTGTAATTACATTAATTTTCTGATTAGACTGAAAGTCTGGAGAGGCTCTGAACACATCAACAGCATCCCCAACGCCTGACATTTATTAAAGAACAAGCGTCCCTCTAAGGCTTTGCCACCGAGTGTAATCCTCATCCAAGAGGAGGAATGATAAGGTGGGAAGGTCTGGCTTGTTGGGCAGCAGGACATGCAAAGTGCCAGCTGTGTGCTACACAAAGGGGACGAGATGATGGTGGGGTGGAAGGCAGCAGGCAGACCACGCAGGTCAGGCTGGCCACTGTAAAGACTCTGGAAATGGGAAACTGCACAAGGCCTTAGTGGGGAACTCGCATAGTCCCTTCAACCTTTACGACCACTGTGTCTGCAGGCAAAGCACACACTGTGAGGGAAACTGGCAGGTGCCAACGCAGGAGGCCCAGCAAAGGGGACCAGGTGCTGGTTTGGGTGACCACAGATGTCAAAGAGAAATGATGGAGGCACAGGTACAGAATACACCTAGAATGGAGGAGAACAGAAATTCCCAAGAAGAGGAATTTATTATTTAGGGAGCATCAAAAGAATACTGCTCAAACCACCGCAATCTGCATGCTTCCAAAGTGCTTATAGTCCTGGAGGCAAACATTATTGTTCCCAACTTGATGTTGTGGAAACACTGAGAGGCTACGCAGTTTCCCACTGCACAGACACGAGTGCTATGAAAGCTGGACTTTGTCTTAAACTGCAGTCTCCAGGGTTCAGGATAGAAGCTGAACACTCTGGGCTCAGGCTGAGCCTGCTGAGTGAATGAATCACACTGAGGGAAAGGGAGACATTAAAAATGTATGGCATCTGCTAGAGAAGGAGGCTAGAGGCTTCTGCAGGACAAGGACATGACCAGCGTGTCTGTCGCAGTGTGGCAGACGGTCATCACAGAATGAAGCTTGGCATCTTGCTTTTCCTCAAGCAAAATTAGCAGGGAACAGGAGGAAGAATGTGCCTATTCCCTTATCAACATCTACTCAAAGACGCAATTATCAACACATGACTAACGAAAGCTCTGACAGGCCATCAGAGTTACCAGACTGTAACTTGGAGAAAAACAAACTTCTAATGAGAATTTTTACACCACAACACATCCAGGAGTGGTTAAATCAATGAAAATGAGCCCAAGGCAAGTTGCTCATGAAGAGCCAGGCAATCAATAAGAACCAACCCAAGGTTCATTTCTTTGCCTTCTCTGTCAGGCCATCAGCTTTTGGGCTTTAATAAAAGAAGCTTTCTGAATTCAGTGTCTCTGGGTTCAACTCAGTGATCTCATGTTCTTTTGGAAATAAGACAGAGTCAAAGGCTCATGGTGTGCATGAGACACTTTCTGTAACTGCAGGGAAAAAACAAGAGCAGGGCGAATGGGTTCTAAATCTTGAGCAATCGTACTCAGTGAACTCTAATTAATAACAGCCAAAGACAATTGAGAACTGTGTGAAAGGAAGTGGGAGCGTTGAACCCTGCCGCACCCCTCTCTCACCCTGCAAGTAAATGGGAACCCTGAATATTGTGCAGAACACGGCTTCAGAGTATTGCTCAGAACACGAAGCAGTAAGTTTCTGCTTTAAAAAAGAAAGTCCTTAAACAATGTTACGCAATAACAGATGAACTTACAGTCAATAATGTTACGGGGAGCAAGGCACACTGCTCCCATCCACTGTGATATCTACACTGAAGCTGTGGGCTCTAACCACACTAAGCTTCTCTAACCTACCTGATACTCAAGCATACGCCCTCCTGGTAGTTAGGGCCCCAAACCTTTTGCAGGGTTTGTAGCCACACCCCATTTCTTTTTCTTTCTTTTTTTTTTTTTTTTGCGGAAACCGGGGATTGAACTCAGGCCCTTGCACTTGCCAGGGAAGCGCTTATTCCACTGAGCCATTCCCCCCCCCCGTCCCCCACACCCCATTTCTAAAGCACACTTTTGATCAGTATTCAACTGGACCTTTCCTGCTCCCCTGGCTCGAGGCCAGAGGCACAGTACAGGAAAGGGAAGGGGAAAAACCTAAATAAACTCTCCAGCCTCGCTTGGTTTTAGTTGACTTTAAAAATCATTCATATTGGAAGCCACACAGCTGAGCAATACATTGGTCTCAGACACCTCAAAGTGAAGCCACTTAAGAGGTTAAAACTGCTGCCTTTCTTCATCTCCCCGTTCTCTGTGTCTACAGGATCAACTGCAAAAGGAGCTAGTCCTGAACAGGAGAACTAAAGGACAGGAGAGGCGAGTCTTCCTGACCCTCAACTTTAAAGATCCCAAAACATCTGAGCGTCTTCAGGTAACTGCCAAGGATGGGCCAAGGATGTGCTAAGCTTGCTCTTTAATTTAAAAAAAAAAAAAAAAAAAATACTCAACTTGGACCCAGAAGAAAATAATCAACTGCTAAGGACATTCTGGCAGGGAGAAAAACTTGAACTCTGCGTTTCTCGTCCCTCCCTTAAAGCCCTCTGGGCCCTGGGATTCCTAAGATCTTTGTGAGGAATCCCGTTCTTCCGTTCCCCAGCTTTCCAAACCAACTTTTCCTCGCTGCAACAATTTGTCCTCCAGTTCCCACCACTCCTGATAAGCGACAGCGAGATCTCAACTTCCTACGAATAATTCCAGGGCAGAGGGTTACATTCTGTCTGGAGAAGGGTACTGAGCAGGGCCCGAGGTGGAAAGGAAAGCATTTGAGCCACGTATCCTTGGCACCCAGCTGGCGCTGGCAGCAAAAGCGAGGTTCGCAGCGCGGGCCCTCCGGGAGCACGCAGCCCCGCCCCCGCAGCTGGGCTGCCCGGGACACGCGTGGGCGTGGCCAGCGTTCCACGCGGTGGGCGCGTCCTCTCCGTGAGGGGCGGAGCCTGAGCACTTTCCTCAGAGGCCGCGGCGGCGTTCCCCGAGGCCAGGTGTGGGTTAAAGCGTCTGTCCTCTCACCTGAGCGCGGCTGGGCAGGGCTCGGGCACTCGCGGGCCTCGGTGTCCGTACAAGTATCAGGAACCGTCTTAACCAGCCTGAAGCCGCCTCTGGAGTCGTAACCGCTTCCGCCTTCTCTCCCGAGGTTTGTACTGGCGGACTTAAAGTGCAGGCCTGGGCCGCCTTCCCGGCCTGTTTGCGAGCCGCCCGGAACTCGGCCAGCCGTTGTTCCATGGCGAGGCCCGCCTTCCGCGCAGTCCGGCGGCGGGCCTCCCGGCGCTTGCGTCGCGCATGCGCGCTGGCGGGGCCGCGGCCGCTTCCGCCTTGCAGTGCGGTCCCGGGCCATCGGTGCCGCATTCCTAGAAACGCACGTGGGCACTGCGGTGACGCCCTCCAGATAAACGTATACAAGGCCTGCCACGTTCCTCTCTGTCGCCCCCGGTTCCTTGGGGACAGGATCCCTGCTTGCTCCTTCCCTGCTGGGACTCTAGTCCCAACGCAGCCAACTTTCTGTAGCGTGGAGCGCTCCCCTGGGAAGATGGATCCAGGACAGAGAAAGCCCGTGATTACTGAGGTTTCTTGTGCCAGAGGTTGCTTCCAACCCTTTTCTTTGTATCAGCACATGCCAGCTCGGTACTTAGAGACTTTACAGTGCTCATAGAGCAGGCTGTGCAGTCCTCTTGCTACACTGAAAATCGCTGATGTGTCTGAAAGCTTGCCTAGCATGCGTCGTCATGCCGCCGTGGTTCAGGCGCCCAGCACTAAAAACAAAAAGAATAAAAACAAAAACAAAACCCGAGCCAGACCCTGGTGGCCAACACCTGTAACCTCAGCACTCTAGGTGGCTGAGACTGTAGGACTATAAATTCAATCCCGGCCGGAGTAACTCAGCAATTTAGTGAGACGCTGTGAATATTAATAGGGCTGGGGCTGTAGCTCAGCACAAAGGCTCTGCATTCATTCCCAGTGCTGTGGAGGAATAAAGAAAAAAGATGAAATTTAAAATACAGAAATATTAAGTATAGCCTCAATACTTCTCTGTACAACTACCAGCTATCTGACAACACACTGCTAGGATGCCAGGAGTTCTTTGCACCTTCACACTCAGTACCCACCCAAAAGGACACAGGGCGGGTCAGACTGCTCTATAGATTTTTTTTTTAATTTATTTATATATTTATTGTGTGTGTGCGCGTGGGTGTGTGTGTGTGTGTGTGTGTGGGTGTGGCCAGCTCAGCCCACCAGGGGGCGGGCTGGCTGGCATGTGGTGCTGGGGATTGAACCGCGGTCCCTGTGCTTTGCTAAGCTTGTTCTAAGTAGGTGCTTTAGACCTCTGAGCCATCTCACCAGCCCTGCTCTATAGATTTTTAAAGCATCTGGCAAAGTACCTCCTGCATAATTGATCCTCATATTTGTTCGATCTTCCATGGTTGAATCTATAAGCTAGTCACACACTAGGTGGAAAGACAGGCAGTAAACGAGTACACAACTACACACCCAATATAAGGTCAGGTGCTGATTAGTGCTATGAAGGAAAGTAAGGAATGAGAGTGGGGAAGCTATTTAGAGCTCCAGGAAACACCTGAGTGTTTGCTCTCTGAGCAGAGAACTAATTTATGTGACGCATGTAGCTACCAGGACCAGTATTTTAGGCCAGGCAGTGGTGGCCTATGACTGTAATCCTAGCACTTGGGAGGCTGAGGCAAGAGGATTGTAATGAGTTTGAGGCCAACCTGAACTGCATAGTGAGACCCTGTCTCAAAAAAAAAAAAAAAAAAAAAAAGGAATATTTCAGTCAGAAGAAATAGCAAGTTCAAAAGTCCTAAGATCAGCTAGTATGTTTGATTAGCTCACAGGACATCAGGAAGGCCAGAAGGACTAGAACAGAAGGGATATAACTCAGCCTACAGAGCTTGCCTGTAGTCCTGAGTTTGATTCCCGGTACCAAAAAGAAAAAAAGGACTGTCTTTTTCACTTATAATGTAAGCTTTCAGAAAACCAAGGTTGTGTTTCACTCCAGAACTTCTGTGGCCTTAGGATGCGCAACACATGGCACTTAATATTTGCTAAGGTTGGGGCTGGAGATGTGCGCTGGTAGTGATCAGTGGGTGTGTGATGTGGAAGCTCTGAGACCGTGAGATTGACTAGAGGGTGAGTGTGGAAGAGAATATATTGGAGCCATGAGTGATTAGAGATGGTTTGTAAAACAGAAAAGAATGAGGTTTTATGCCCCAGGGCCCTTCATGGGGAAACCATAGCAAATGCCAAGGAGATAGCTCAGTGGCATAAGCATCTGCCCAGCAAGCGCAATGTCCCAAATTCAATCTCTAGTACCACAAAAAGAAATAAAATTAACGATACCGTTTTTCACTTCATTCTACCAGTCAGAACATAGCTAAGCTAGTTCCAGGAACTGAGAAATAGATGATTCCATCTTTTTTTTTTTTTTTTTTCTTTTGGCAGAACCAGGGATTGAACTCAGGCCTTTGTGCTTGCCAGGCAAGCAATTGTTCTACTGAGTCATCTCCCCAGCCCCTGATTCCATCTTTTGCTAGAAAAAATTAAAAAGAATTAATAGACATCTATTACCTACGTCAAAAGCAGATATACACCACGTTATTTGCCCCATCCTTTATCCTTCTATGTCCATACCATAAGAAGCAGACTACTCTTCCCCTTTCCTTGGCTTTAAGCTGAACCATGTACTTTGCTTTGGACAAATGGAATGATAGCAGAATTTATGACAGCAGTGGTTGAAGTAGCTCAGTGTGAAGGCTCTGGGTTTAAACCCCAGTCTCACAGAAACCACAAATGTGCTCCTGAAGGGGATTCTGGTAACACCTGAGGTTCACCTCTCCTTTGCTACCATCTTCAACCCTGGCCAGACTGCTAAGGCCTCAGAAAAGGGAAAAAGGGATTTCTCATAGACCAGGGAATCTAGGTCTATGAAAAACCAGGGTTTGCTCCATGTGTAAGTGTGTCCTTGAGAACTCTGAATCGCCATGAGCTGGCAGCTGGCCAGCTGGTTGAGGGCCAGTGAGACCCACCTGACTGTACTCACCCTGTTGATGCACACAAGTGAAACTTAAAGGTGAGCTGCTCAGTGGAGCCCAAGCTAAAATAGCAGCTCCCCAGCTCACCCTAAGATGTATGAAAAATAGATCCTTATTTTATATCACCAGAAGTTTGTCGTTATTTGTTAAGCAGTAAAAGCAACAAATACATGAGAAAAAAAAAATACTCATAAAAAGTGTTTTCTTGAATTCAGTCTCCTATGTCCCTGGGCTAACTCCTTTCCATTTCTTCTTTCAAGTAAAGAGTACATTAGTAGATTTTCTGTTAATAACCCATCCTTCATTCCTGAAGCAAACACACTTGCTTTATAAAAATTCAAAGCTTCAGTGTGATAACTTTTGGGAATTTTGTACTGTGCTCATTAATGTCCTATAATTTTTATGCACTACCACTGAATTTTAGGATTGTACTAGCTTATAAGGTGCCTCCATGTCCATGCCTCACTAGTCTTCTAGAATGTTTGGATAAAATAAGAATTAACGACTTCTTTGGTAGGACTTAGCAGTGAAGCCTTCTACACTAGAATGTTTTCTTGGATCAAATAAATAAATGCAAAATACAGTTAAGTTGCTTCATAGCTGGTTAATTTATCCTTACTTCCAGGGGGTTAAGAGATGGATCATTAGTCCTGCCTGATATTTTTAAGGAGTGTCTTGGGTGAAAAGAAAAATGAATGAATCATATTTTCAGGTGACAAATTTGGTTGAAAAGATCTATGATTGTGTCTTTAGGATAAAAGAAAGTGAAATGTATTTGAACAGTTTACAATATTATGATTAAAGCATTGTGGAATTGCTCAGAGGGAAGTTTGCCTACTCCTAGGTATACATTTATGTTTTTATATCTTTGTTTTTGTTTCTTACTAAAAATTATTTATTGGTGCAAGGTCTCGCTACACAGTTTAGACTTGTAGTGATTCTCCTGTCTCAGCCTCCCCAGTCCTGCGATTGCCGTTGTGTGCCACCATACCCAGTTTCAGGGCTAGCACAGCATTTGGTACCAGCAGTTGAAGTTGGGTCCTTGTGCTTGCCAAGCAGGCACTTAGACCACCAAGCTATCTCCCCAATCCTGTTTTTCTTTCTTAATCATTGGCTTGAGAGCAGTGGCTTCCATAGGACTTGGGGTTTTTCCCTGACCACAGCCTGGTTGGCATGGAAGGGTATGAGGTAGATGGTTGAGCACTGTGACAAATCCCATTGGCAAAGTGAGCAGACATCCGTACCCTGTGCTCTCCTGCCCCTTTTGGTCTTGTTCTCACAGGTGCCACATGTTCAAGTTCTGAACATTGTGATTGGTAAGACAAGCCATAGAATTCTAGACAATGACATGTCCAGATAAAGGTATCTAAGCCTAGCACTTTGGACATTTTGGACCAACTATTACTACAACATGGAAGCCACCCTCTTTCTTGTAAGATTCTTAGCAGTGTCCTGGCAGTGCCCCAGTAGATGCCAGCAACACTCTGGTTATAATAACCAAAACCATTTCTAGATGGTGCCCGAGGATGCCTAGAAGCAAATGTGCTCTGAGTTGAGAACCACGGGTCCTCATAAGAATGATAAAGTCAGTGAATGACGCGAGCCAGACAAGAAAAGCCATAGTGAAGACATCCCAGTTAATTTTAGAAAGTGTACTGATAATAAAGTGTCGCTCACACCTGTAATCCCAGCACTCTGGGAGGCTAATGCAGGTGGATCAAACATTTGTTCCCAGCCTAGGAAATTTAATGAGTTGGTGAGGCCCTGTCCCAAAATAAAAGATTAAAAATAAAGGGCTTAAGATGTAGCTCAGTACACAGGTCCTAGGTTCAGTACCAGCACCACAGTCAATCAGTACAATATTTCTCTTGTGACTGGGCTAGAAGAATCACTTTTGCGGGGGTGAGGGCATTGGCCACTCAGGGTGAGGTATGTGTGAAGTAGGTATGCAGAGGTAAGGAGTGTGTGGAACCTCCCAGAATGCGGTTAGAGATTAAGATGGCCCCCTGGGTCACTCGTCACAGCAGGCTCAAATGCAAAGCAAGTGCTCTGGCCTTTGTCCTTCCCATACCCATTTATCATTTAATTTAGTCCCAAAGACAGTCATTGAATAGGCCATCCTGACTGTCCCATTCATCCCCTATGCCCTATTTGAGTTCTTGCCCAGATGCCTTTTTTCTTTGATCCTTGCTTCCTGCTTCCATCAATAAAGACTGTAGAGGC